GAGAGAGAGAGAGAGAGAGAGAGAGAGAGAGAGAGAGAGAGACAAAGAGAGAGATATAGACCTTACATTGTTGAAAGGGGCACTAGTACTATACAATTTCGTGTTAACAATTTGTTTATAACGTTAACTACTCCTCACCAGGACCAGCCGGTGCCGAGTCAGGAGGAGATGAAAACCCTGCTGAAGCAGAAGCAGTGGAGCTCGCAAGTGAGCGGGTCCTCTGCCGATCAGCTAGATAGCTTGTCCAGTGTGGTCAGTTCTTCATTGGTCAGCACCGTGCACCAGGAGAAGCTGGAGGTGGGCAAGACAGGCCTGGAGAACCTGGGGAACACTTGCTACATGAACAGTGTGCTGCAGGCTTTGTACATGTGTGATAGGTGAGTGGGGGGGGGGGGTGGAGCTGCAATGTATTTGGACAACATTGGACGGCGCAAGAAGTGTCTATGCACACTTTTCACATGTGCGAGAAAAACAAGTTTGTAATTTTGACAATATTTAAATCTCTACTTAATAACATAGTCAAAAAAGAAATGTTGATATCTAGATACAGAATTAAGCTGCGGCTTGGATATTTACAGAGATAAAATGAGTGGTTTAAAATTTCACTACTCATATCGATTACTTCATTTCAACCAAAAGCGGATATAGTCACTTCTCGCGCTCAGCTGTCAATGTGTGAGTTGTCCTGACAAAATGAGTTGCTTCTCAGATTTTAGCCCTGTGGACATAGATGCTGTATTTTCTACTTCTAATCGGTGCCGGTTTAGATGATCATCTACTTCTAAATGGTGATCATTGACTAATAAATTATGAGAGTAACTGACCAAATGACAAATTACAACCGCCAAATATTTTTTAAATGGGTAATGACATCCCCAAGTCTGTTTAAATGGGGAGAGAAATGTAAACTGATCCCTATCACAAGTCGCACACCTGTAGAAACTGGTAGACCTTCAACTGAACCATTTGTCAGACCATTATGTTGGTACACCATCTGCAGAATAGGCTACCCACAACAAGAAATTTCTGACTAAAAATGTGGAAGCTTTATGCTGATACTATAAGTGAAAAATTTGAAGTGAGATTATCAATCAAATAATTATTTTGACTACCACCCTTCTCCCTTTCAAAAGAAAAAACAAAAAACAAAAAATAAAACAACAACAGCAACCAAACTTAGGTACAAACCTAAATCTATAGCATTGCCTTTACTCTTCATGGGGTTCAAATATGAACCAAGGGGCACTAGAACTTTAACATTTTTATTTCTTTCTCTCGCTACAGGTTCCGACAAGGCATCTTGAGTAAACCACCTACTGGAAGTGAGAACTTATTGGTGAAATTGCAACATGTCTTTGCCATGCAGAGTCAGTCCTTGGTAAGTTGGTGCTGCCAACTGATGGTACTTTGTCTGGTTATCGCAGATTTTTGCGAATGGTTTGTGAGTGATTGCAGAAGTGCTGAATTTTCAGCTAAATCAGGGAATCTGGATTTCTAAAATTGTTTTGATTTTGCCTAACTCCAGAAGTTGGTGCACTTTATAAAAAAACTGCCTTGATTAGAGATGTCTTAGAAAACATTATGATCTATAAATTCAGAGTTCTACGCGCATGTTCTTCCGGGTCCCAAAAAAAGTTCATGGTTTTTTTCGCTGCCAGTTAACCCCTTTGTGATTGGAGGCAGTATGATAAAGTGGAAGGAACCTTACAATTTTTAATGTTTAAAGAAAAATACTTGGATTATCTCCTTTACATGTCTTTGTTAGGGCCTTTATTTGTTTTATTAATTTTTGTCAGAGGAGATTTTCTGTCATGTAATTTAGAAATACATTTTATTTCTTGCTAATTCTCGTCAGTTTGTTAGTATTTTAGTTCTCAATTGGCTGCTTGCATTGTATGCCTCCAGAAAAGTTGAGACTGTTTCTGTGTGTTTTAAGATCTACTGTGGTGATAAAGTTGGTTGGAAAGTGTTTAGAGCTGGCTGTTGAGTGGGGATGTGTTGGAAAAATCAAGATGATATACATAATGCTGGTACAATTGTTGAAAGAATGAAACTATACAAGTGTATTTTATGTATTTATCTCTCTCCAGAGACCTTGCACTGCCCCGAGGAATTTCTTGCTGTCCTCACGCCCACCGTGGTTCACCCCCGGCCACCAGCAGGACTGCTCAGAGTTTCTCAAATACCTCCTGGACCAGCTGCACGAAGATGAGAAAACAGCTGCCAGCGGCTGCCGTACCATCGCTAAATCTCCCTCGTCCAATTCTCTCTCGTCGAATGGCACTTTGAAGTTGAGCAATGGCAAGTCGAGCAAGAAGGGGGAGGTTACTTTGACCTCAGTGAAGCTGAAATCAGAGGACAACTCTGCGGGAGATCTCAGCCTGAAGAGCACGATGTCCTTGATAGAGAAGACGTTCCGGGGACAGGTGCAGACCACACTGAAATGTCTGGCATGCAAACAGGAGTCCCAGCGCGTCGAGAGATTTGCTGATATCCCTCTAGCCTTCCCCAACTCTTCCAAGTCATCGGACGTCCCTCAAAAAATTCTGGCTGGCGGCAGTGGAACGCCAGCTCCAGCCACAGCCACGACGCCGGAAAATAGTTCCCAGTCTGGGGCTCCTCCGTCTTCGTCTTCCACGAGCAGCGAAGTCGACGGTGCGGAAAGTGACGGCCCCGAGGGCAGTTTTACTCTAAATGATCTCCTGTCGTTCTATCTGAAGCCAGAGAAGCTGGTTGGGGATAACCAGTACCACTGCAACGGTTGTGGCAAGCTGCAGGACGGAGAACGCCGGATCCACATCGTGGAGTCGCCACAGTACCTTATCCTGACGCTGCTACGCTTCTCCTACGACACCAAGCTCCAAACCAGGACAAAGATCTTTGAGGACGTTCAGTACCCCAGAACCCTGGCGCTTCCTGTCCACGAAGTCACGCCCCCTCCCTCCCCATCCTCCTCCACCTCCTCCAAAGACTCTTTTTCTTCATCCTCTTCCAACTCCAAAAAACAGCACTCTAGAGGGAACAGTTCTGTCACTAGTAACAATGTCATAACTAATAATAACAATTATAATAACAATAATGTTGATGAGCATAAGCCACAGTCTTCGTCGAGGTTGGAGCAAATATTAAAGCAGCTGGCTCCCAAGACAGATGACGAGGAGACCAGCGTCCACCATTGTGATTTGTACGGGCTCTGTGCCGTCGTGGTGCATTCTGGGACCTCGTCGGAGTGTGGCCACTACTACTGCTACGCTCGCCACTCCTCGGCTCAGCAGACTGACCTCAAAGTTTTGGAAAAGGTGAACGTGGATTTGAACACCCTGGATCTTCTGCCTGACAAGTGGTATAACTTTAACGACAGCCGCGTGTCACACTCAAGTTTTACATCCTTCAGGTATGTTGAAACCTCTCAGATGTAAAGCCTTTCTTATTTTTGTACGCTCGCTTCTCTCATTTTTTGTATAAACAATTTTTTTGAAAATCATATTAGCTTACTAAGTGCTGTAAAGATACCTTGAACATGTCTCTGGGAGACTTCAAAATTAATCTCTTGACATGAGGGAGCTTAGCTCCTGACAGACCCAGTTGAAAAGCAGCAATCACAAAAGGCAGCAAGCCTTATGTGGCTTCACGAACAAGAAATGCTGAAGCCGAGAGAGAAGCCTACAAGTTGCACACTTCCTCAAGTCAAAATAAAGGTTTCAAATGTTCAAAATTTGGTAAATTTTGTATTATATATATATGTTATTATGACCCAAATTTTCCCCACCGGGGGCAGTTATGCAGAATCTATTAATTATTTTTGGGGTATCATTCTCAGTATTGGGTGTTAGAGGTAGAAGTGTGTCTCTGACACATCACTGTGGGTGTGTGAATACATAAGGATTATAATAATATCCTGTCTAACATCATACCATGACTTACGGGAGTGGGGAGAATTTTTATCGAGTATCTTGGTCTTTCCGCTGGTGTGTTGTATCACTCTCAGCCCGGCATGGTTGGTCCTGACAGGCAGGATGGTCAGAAGTTCTCTTCCTAAATGATTATGTTGAAGGGAGTGTAAAAGCTCCTATATTTAAGAGAAAAAAAGATATATATATATCATATTAAAAAAAGATTCTAAGACCGTGACCTGTATTTGTCCACAGCAATGTGACCAAGAAGTTCTCCAAGGACACGGCGTACGTCCTCATCTACCATAAACTGACCGCTGATGGACAGGACCAGAGCTTAAGCTCAGACCCACCCCTTCGCTCTGACCTCAGAGATGCTGTGGTCAAGGACAACGAAAAATACCTGAAGGTAAAAAAAAGTCACTAGTGAACGGGTTTAATGCCTCATTCAACACTGTTAGGTTATTTAAAGAAGGAGGGGAGAAACAGAGAGAGTGGGAGTGAAATTATCATTATTAGAGCTATGTTCTTTGTACTATTTCATAACACTTTGAGCGCTTTCTTAGAGGAAATACATTGTGGAAATGTAATTTATCATTATGATTGCTATACTTTATAGTTGCATACATTAAACATCCGTTGGTCGTCCTAAAATCAATAAGAGTAGGCTCCAGCCACTACAGCTTAGGCAAAATTCAAACTTAATTCCTACCAAACTGAACACGGTTAATGTGTCCCCGCACGCTCATATGACCTTGTTCAGAAAAGTTGCGAACACCGTAAAACGCTTACTGAAAATTGTTCAAAAATCATTATTATTATCATTATTATTATTATTATTTCCAACATATGGGTTAATTGTTCTTGTCATAGTAATCACCCATCTCCCTCGCTATCCCCACCCACAGGAACAGGAGCTCGAAGCCAGGGCCAAAGAGGAGCAGCAGCGGCGCAGATCAGCGTCTGTGGGCTCCGCCTCTCTACACAAGTGGCGGGACGACGATGACGACCCACCAGGCGGCCCGCCTGGCTTTGGCGGCGCTTTTGGGGGCGGTGGTGGCGGCTTTGATTCCATGGGGCCTCACTTTGTCTTCTGAGCTTCTGTTCGTCGCTTCTTGATAATGCAGCCCAGTGTTACTTATGGGGAAGTTATTTGTGGTGGGGTTTTTTGGGAGTTGTTTTTTTGTTTAGATTTTTTGTGGGGGTTTTTCCGGGAGGGGGGTGAGGTTAGTTGTTAGATTAGTTTTCTTTGCTTTTTTAAAATTTTGGATTTTGTTTTGTTTTCCGTTGTTTCGTACTTCTTTTTGTTGAAATATTTATTTGTTCATTTCATTTATTTATTTATTTATTTATTTATTTATTTATTTGTTTTGTTTGTTTTTGTTTGTTATTTTGGTTGGTAGGGTGTTGTTATTTTTTAAAAAACTTGTTTGAATGCAAACAAGAAATACACAATAACCTTGTTGGTAGATTGGTAGATGGGTTCCTTGGTATATTTCTTCTCTGCTGACTATTAGATGGGTTCCTTGGTATATTTCTTCTCTGCTGACTATTAGATGGGTTCCTTGGTATATTTCTTCTCTGCTGACTATTAGATGGGTTCCTTGGTATATTTCTTCTCTGCTGACTATTTCACAGTTGCTCCTTTGGCTGTCCTACTTTTTCTTCAAGCGTGTGTAGTTGTGTTTTGTCCTGCCCTACCTATTGGCCTAACGAAACTGAAAGTTGTAAGTATAACTTAAGTTCTGCAGCTAGTGATTTGGTGGTGAAAAGTTTTTCAGTTCCTCTGTGGCCGACATTTTTGTTCAGGTTGTATCAATTCTTTTCACTTCTTTACCTTCTGAAGCATTCTTTTTTCGCACAGTACCTCTAAGCCTATCAATTGATGAATGTATATTTATCTGCTGTTATGAATCTGCAAAGAAGAAGATGAAAATACCATTAATTAATTTATTTTAGTTCCATTTCCTTATAGTTTCTATCTCTTTCTCTCTGTTTCTGTCTCTCTGTAGAGGAGAAATGAATGTGTTAAATTATATTATATGAGCTATACACCTTGAGTTTTACACTTTGACTACTTCAAAGTTTTATAATGTCATATATGCGAGTTGTAGCCTATACCTTGAATTAAGCATTTTGAGTTACAGAAAGTTATATAAAGTAATGTGAGAGTTGCATACCTTGATCAATGTTATTACGATTTAAGAGTTATACTATATCTCCATTTTGCAATATCTTTAAGTAATAACTGTGTTCATTAGTGACAGGTTTTAGTCTTTTTAGCTTCAATTATAATTTTGTGGTTTTTTTCCCTTTTTTTTCCTTACACACATCCACTCACCCATTTATCAATATTTTAAGTCAGCTCTTATATCGGGAAAAATGTTACTCATCGATTCATATTTGTATGTACCGCTCTTCCCACTCATAGCCAGAATATTGGACATAAGTAATAATGTGATTATTACATAAATATATATTATGTTTAATATTTGTATGGACATGCGAGTGTATGTATTGTTCTTGTTTTCTAAATAGTCCCTCCTGTATAATAGTCTGAAACAATAGTCTCAAATATCATGGTCAAGATTGTAGGATTGGCCCTCTCTGAGGTGGTGTGTGTCGGAGAAATTGAGAATATATAACTGATTAATGTTGCTATAGATTGATGCCTTAAGTAAGTAAAAGTTTTCATTCTGTGTACCCAGTATCTTACTCTAGCTGTACTCTAGCTCACTTGTGCCCCAATTGTTTCACTGGCCCAAACTGTTTATGGATGAATCTGCTCAGTAATGATACAGTATTTTCCTCTCTGTCTCTGCCTCTATTTCTTGTGTATAATGGGTAACCTTCCCCCTACTTCCTCAGTTTTGCTCTCAAAGAGTAGAGCGCTTTGTGTTCCCTTGTCGGATTATATTTTTTATATAGGACAATACTTTGCGTTCGTTTTTTGGGTCATGGTTTTTATATATATGAAAATTTTTATAAGCATTTACTACTATTACTGATTGATTACGATCGCAGTTGCACATTTCAGGCTTTGAATGTTGCCTCATCAAGATCAGTTTAAATCCCTTAAAACATATTGACAAAAAATCAAAGAATGAAAAGGTTATTTTGATAATTTTTTTCTAACATACTTTTAAGTTTGAAAATGTTTGACTCACAACATAATTGTGTCTGTAGTTTGAAAGAAATATAGTAATGAAACCTCAAACTCAACCTCAGTGTTTTCTTTCAAAAATAAAAATCCCATTCACAAAATCATGGATGTCAGAGGTTGCCAAAATGAATGATAGAACTTAAAAGCATTCTTAACATCTTGTGAGGATTCATTCGCTGGTTGGCGCGAGTCAAACATTTTAAGGACCCCTGTTCCCTTTTCAGAACACAAAATAGGGGGAAGGTTAATTAAGTAATCCGTCATTGTGTGGCATATTGTGTGTTTTACTAGAGGCTCTTCACCTTAAGATGTCCTTTATGGATATAGTTTGTACAGATCTGAATGTGTGCTTTAATCAATTCATTTTATCATGCACCTGGGTAAATCATGATATTTATGGATTCTGTAACAGTTTCTTCTCAAGAGCTACTAAATTCAAAGAAATTTTTCTAAACTAAATTTAATCCGACAATAGCGTGAAGAGTAAACGTGACCTTTATAGAATGGAAATGCCTTCCTGGTTTTTTTTGTTGTTTTTTCGGTATTTTAGGAAAAGATTTTATATGATTTTTCAAAATCATACCCTCTTGGAGAAAAGACTGTTTTTGTTTTGCAATATTATGTTGCTGGCTCCTAGAGTTTTCTGGCAAAGACCTAAGGGCCTATGTTGTTGTTGTTTGTATACAAATGTACATAAAAGACTCACCTATAGTAACTTATTTTGAGCTTGTATCAATGATAACCTTACAAGACCCACGTCACTGCTGCAGTGATCCTTCATCCTTATGTCCCCCGACCCCTCTTTTCTGTGCTGGTTATTCTTTTGTAACACCTCTAATTTTCAGCGCTTATATGACCTTATTGTGCTGCAAGTGCCGTAAAACTCTCTCTAAAACTAAAACTTGAGTGAAGGAGTGTATGGCCCCGGCAAGCCGTTCGAATGTTCTAAGCCCAGATTGCAAAATTTTTCTGGAGAGAAAAAAACAAACTTCCATTCCTTAAACAATATTGTACCTACATTTTTCTTATATTTTTCTTGCCTTTTTAAACGTTTAGAATATAAATTTTGTTGCTCTATTTTGAGAGTAAATTTTCTAATAAAGATCATATTATACTAACGACTACAACAACAAAAATATTGAATTTGAATTCTGACAAAACATTTAGAGAATTCAACCAATATCACTGAATAAAAAACTGCTATTTTTTTTAACGAATGATAACAATTTGGCACTCGGTACATCTGAGCTGCTGGCTGACAATATGAATGCTGAAAACTGAGAACACCTGTAAAGAATGCTGCCATTGTGACTCCAGAGCAGGAAGAGGCGCTTTGTGGGGAGAACAAGAAACAGTTGTACATTCCCATATTCACGTGTCAATATTTTCACGCCAAAAGAGGTAAGGAGTGATGTGAGACTCCTTGCACTATCCCCCAGCCTGCCCCCCCCCCCACCCTTATGTCTGGCCCTGCTAGTGTAGATATCTCTGTGATTTTATTTCACCATGCCAGTAATACATGATACAGTATCCATTGAATTGTGCTGTGCAAATTTTATGTTTCGTTTTCTTTCTATTTGTCACTCATCCGTGGGACATTCAATCTTCATCACGTGAAATTTGAAAAGAGAATCCCACACTTCATCGTTGTCCCTGTAAATGTTTGTATTTATTTGCTTACTTTGTTCCTTCTCCGCAACCCCCCCCCCCCCCCCTATGATTTGAAGTCAAGGACATCTTTGCCTGTAAAGGGCAAACATCATCGACATAGTCCACCAAGGCATTAATTGGACAGCTGTCCTAAACTGGGACGTTTGCTGACTGGAAAGAAGGACGTTTGCAAACTGTGCGAGAAGAATCTGTTTCTAAGAAAACTCAAAAGTATCAGTTTTTGCATCAAGTCTTACTCTAAGATGTTTGCGAAATAATATTTCTTAAAAGCATCTGTGTTTGCCTCATTTTCCTCCATCTACATTTTTTTCCATGGCACGTTCAGTTGACTCTTGCCTTTATCATAGCTTTTTTGTTTTGTTTCGTGTCAGTTGCTTTTTTATTTGTTAATTTACTCACACTACCATCTGTCTCACAGCTTCAGTTGTCGCACGTGTTGAGGAAATAAGTTAATTCTAGTATATAATATGCTATATCACATGTCTTGATACATATTTATATATTTTCCTACCGTATGTATTAATTTAGTTGTATGTATTGAAGATTAGGTAGTAATACTCTAGGGGGTACTGCACTTTGTAATCCGTTCAGTAATAAAGCGAGAGCAGTCGGGTATCATCTAAACAAAAAGGTAGAGAGTCAATTGTATAGTAGTAGGGCTTAACTTTTATTTGCTCTCTTATTGGATAATGATAACTATTATTATTATTATTATTATTATTATTATTATTATTATTATTATTTTTATAGTAACAACAATAATAAGAATAATAATAGGCCTAATAATGAAAATAATGATAATAATAATAATATACCTTTTGCTATTTAAAACTGGCTGACTCTGCCCCCCCCCCTCCCCCTCCTCTTTTAATATATGCCTACCCGAGTGATTTTATTTTTGCTTTCAAACAGACAAGCAATCAGAAACATACGGCACTGCAGTCTAATAATAACTCGAGATTTGGTTTTTGCTGCTGTCTCTGTTTTTATATAATCATTACTGCCCTAACACGTTTCATAAGAAATATGGCCGTTATCCCGATGACTGGAGTGGGTGGTTAGTGGATGCTCTGGTGTGATTTTCTCCCCCCCCATTATTAAACATCAATCGTCATTATCGTCCTCATTTTCTTTGTAGTACAGGTTATGTTACTCTCTAGTATCTTCAGCTCTTGTGTGACCTATTTGTGTTTCAAGGGCCGTAAAACCCGTACTAAAACTAAAAAGCTAAAACCGATGGCCGCCGTCTGTAGACTACAGCTAAAAGTCTGTCACTTTCTATATAATGTGCGGACACGTTATTGGGTACAGGCGTATGTGGTATTGTGGTTAGGCCTTTCGCTATTGCACGCGGGAGACCCGAGCTTCTTTTCCGAGTGGATTGAG